CCATCCCTATATGAGGCAGCAGGTAGCAGTTTCCATCCATTCTATCGATCCCTATATGAGGCAGCAGGTAGCAGTTTCCATCCATTCTAGCCTTTTTCTTTACCTATGTTGTTTTGGAAAATGTTACAAAGGACCAACGGGGCCAGGGAAGACCCCTTCCCACTTCCCTGCTGGTCTTAATTCCAGATGAGCTTCCTCCTTTCCTCTCCCACACAAAAACATCACAACTATCACATTGTCTAAGATAGAATGTCAAACACACTCTTTTAAATTGGCTAGTTAATGAAAATAAGCTGCAAAGAAAAAAAAGGAGACCAGAGAAAAGAAAAAAAAAAAACTGTAACTAATCAGATTTTTGTAACTCACAAATCAGCCCTGTGTAGGAAATGTTGTAATCCTACTAAATGTCTTTGTTTTTTGCCTACATGTGTGAGACCTTAATTTCTAACTTCAGAGCTGACTCCCGCCCCTCTGCTGTGCTACTCCAGTAGCTATTCTTAGTTTTTTATTTGAGTAAGCTCTTTAAACCGCATTCTGTTCCTTTCCATTATCTTAGGTTGACAGTTCCTAGTCTGGTTCTATTAAGGAGCATTCCCTCCCTTTAACACCTAGCTTAAGCCATTGTTTTTGGCTATGTTTTGGGGGGTAAAGTTTATGTTTATACTCAAGTTTATAAGGCTCCAAGTAGTCTGTCTAGAGCAAAACCTTCTTCCTGTTAATTTAGGTTTCTTTTTATTATTTCTTTTGGTAGAAGCCCATTCATATATTTATTCCCTTATTTTCAGAATCTTTATCACCTCCCTATTATGTACCAGAGGTGACTGAATTACTCATGTTTCCTACCCTTCAGAGGAATATAATCCAGTCAGGGGCCACGCCAGCAAACAGGTGATTTGATAGTCCTGGTCTGAGCCAGGCTGGACAGACTCGGGCCGACCCAGGAGCACAGGGAAGGGGGAAGGAATCAACCCATCCTTTACCCAGGGGCACACCATTTTCCCCATGGCCAACTTCCCTTTAATTATTCTTTTTTAAATATGCAAAGATATAACTGTAGTTCTTGCCTGTCCAGCAGCATACATGGAAATCCTGTCATTTTCCAAGGTGATGTTGGGGTGAAGGGAAAGCAGTTCAGAGAAAGATTAAAGACTGCAAAATAAACGTAAAAATGGAAAAAGCAAAGGTTTGACAAAAGGGACTCAAAGCAAAAAGAAAAAAGACAAAGGGCCAAGAGATCTTAAAACATTAAAAGACCTTGTAGAGGAAGCCTGGAGGCAATTCCTGAGATGCCTCCCTTGCAGGTGCTGACTGGTCAGCAGCTCCCAGGGCAGGTGCAGAAGGCGCGGGCTGAGTGTCCTCCAGGGGCTTCTGCTCTGCGGCCAGCTCCAGCACCTCACTGCCGGCACCCGGAGGAGCCACGTCCTCAGTGGCCACCTTGGGCTCTGCACCTGTGGGTATTTCTTGTTCTCCCTCCCCTTCGTGGTTGGAGGCAGGCTCTATGACGACAGAAGGGATGACCTTCTCCTGGGGAAGGAAACAGGTGGTGGTGCCGAGCAAGGCCTGGGAACCAGGACTGGCTGGTCCTCCAGGCCATGCCTCAGCCCCCGCCCACTGCCTGGGCAGCCACTTTACATCCCCACTCAGCCAACTGCGTGCTCTTCCCTAACCATGCTCGAGTCCTCGGCCTTTGGGCCTCTGCCATGCCACCCAGCTTCCTTTCTGTGTCTCTTGAGAGGGAAACCCTCAATGGGGTTAATTTCTGCATACTTGCCAGCCATGCAGTTTTGTAAGAATGAGGATTCTGTGGACATTGGGAAGAGACACAGGAGACGGGAGAGAGAGTGAACCATACATGAGGGCGGGAGGGATAGTCCTGAGCTGGGCCACAGGTGCACTCCCATATCTGCAAGTCTCCTTCTGGTGCCCGAGAATACCTGTACTTACCTGAAGCTGACATTCAGCCTCCTGTGGTTTTTTTTCTTCCAGAAAAAAATCCTTCCACAGGACACCCAATTGCCCAAAACCATACACATATTTTGTGGTGAAGATCTTGCACGGACTGTCACCCTACCTGCTCTCCGCCGGTGGATTATATTTAGCGCCCACACTGAAGCTACCCGAGGGGCCACAGCTCCCTCCATCCACTCCCAGTACTCTAACTTCTAGACCAAAGGGTCGGGCCCTCCATGGTATTTATTTAACAAAGATGAGCAAGGAGGGGAGTTTCCTTAGCACAGTGGGAGTTGGGAGATGTTTACTGCCCTTCTGATCCAGTTCTATATTCCCTGGGCTATCAGTGGACCCTAGCACTTCCAGCTGTCAATGTGGAGAAAACAGTAACTCCCTTTCAGCAAGCACAACAATATACAAACCCTCTCCTGGCACTGGGACAATCTATGGGGAAAAAATGGAATGTTGTTTTGAGTGACCTCTCCACTGTTATCTGCCCTTTTTCTAGTGGGATGAAAGGGATAATTCACTTTTAAGCCTTAAGTAAACTCTGGAGAGGTTTTTGGAAGTTCACTACAAGTAAAATCCTCAGGAAAAAAGAAAGCATACCACCAAGCCCACTCTTCATGTTGCCTTTCAGAAGGCAGAGTGGGGGGCAGGTGCCTGGGCTGGAGGCCTCCGGACCCTGGAATATGTGAGTCTGTGGCCTTTGGATACTGCTCTGAAGCAGGGTGGTGGGGGCAGCTCTGATGGATGCTCTTAGTGGCCTAGTTCCCATCTGAAAGGGCAACGCAGCAATCAGTTCTTGGGGAAAGGACACTGATGGAGAATTTGAGACACTCAGAATAACAACCGCAGAATAGGAATATAATAGTAATAAGGTTTAATGACCAATGTGCGTTCCCACCATGGGTTCAGCACTAAGCCACACACTTTCTGGACACTTTCTCAATCACTCAATCACAGGTCTCTCCATTCTCATTCTGTTGGTCGTCCATGCTTCCCTCCTCCTCCCCATCACTTTACTCCACAGTTTCCTTTTCCCGTCTGCTTAAGCCCGGTCAGCCATGGTGTGTTGATACTGACAACAATGTTGACAGTGATGATGAGACCAACCTTTCTGAGAATTTGGTAATAAATTTTGGGGGTGGAGTCACAAAATTGCTACAAACCTACTCCACATCTGAGAAGTTATCACCATTAACCAAAGACAGAGACACTCTAGCCAGCACCACCTCCCCAGCAGCTCCCTCTACCCGACACTTACCTGAGGCACTGCTAATTCTGGTTCCTCTGGTTGAGGTCTGTCACCTTCTACACCCTCAGTGCTTTCCGTCTCAACTTTGGCCTCTAACTCGACTCCCTCCCCAGCAGGGAGAGCTGCCTTCTCTGGCTCTGCTTCCTGCACAGGAGCCTCCTGGGCTGCCACATCAGCCTCAGTTCCAGGTAAGATCTGTAGAGCAAACACCAACAGGCCACGTCTGTGTCTCCATGAGCCTCAGCTAAGAGGCAAGCTTAACCCTTTCTCTTCTCCCTCTCTGCTGAGGCTATTCAGATCTCAAACTTTCTTTGCAATGTATAGAATCCCAGGATTCAGGTGCAGCAGATTCTGCCATCTGTTCATCAAAACTCTGACTTGGTTTCTTCCTAAGCATCCAGCAATTCTACATTCCTCAGCTTTCCCTGCAATTGGGGTAGCAAATGAAAGTGACATACAGCATTCTGAAGATAGGACTTTTAAGTGTGTGATCCCCCTCCAAAACTATTTTCATTACTCATGGTTGAAACCAAGAAACAAGGTCTTAGGGTATATGTGAGTCACAAGATGGAAATAGCCTGGGCTCAATACCTAGGTCATGGAGGAAAGCCATGTAAGAAAAGCAATGTAAACCCAAATTAAAATGCTAAGCCACTGATGACTTGACAAACCCTTTCTTGGCCAAGGGACTGCAGAAAAGCTTAAAACTGAGATCTTAGCTACAAAGGGAAGAGAGATCAGACACACCTCATTATACTACATACTCCTACAATTTGGAGTGTAGATCAATTACAACAAGACCCAAGGACATGCAAGGCCTTTGACTTGCTTAATAGATTACACTGAGTCAACATACAAAGGGTGTCAAAAAACAGTACATACACATTTTAACAAAGGAAAAAAACTATATTAAAATTGCAGTACTCAATATATACCAACAAAATGGATGAATACAAGTCACAGTGAGCATCTCATTTAATTGCAGAAGTCAAATGTGATGAGTATTACAAATTTAATACAGATTTTTCCTTTTTTAGAATATATATATATATATTTTGCACCTTCTCTATTGTGGCTTGACCTCAGATCAGCAGACTTCTTTATCTTAACTTTCAACTTTCCTACCTACTAATACTTGAGATTCTTCATTCATTCTGGAGAATGAAGGGACCATTAGTTTTGTAATCAAATATGCTTTATAGCACTCCAAATATCTGCAGAGCCAATTGGCTAGCAAAATGCCAAAATGAAACTCTAGATAAGATTTCTCTTTATTAAGATAAGTACAATAGAAAAGACTAAGAATTTTGTTTCTGAGGTTGGAACCCCATCCAAAGACAAGTTTTAAGTAGTATTAAAAACTTGTAATAATGAAATAAAGTCCGATCAGAAGCATTAGTTTTGAAGAATTGGAGTCCAACTCTTTCACAAGATTCTGACATCAGACCAGATTTGAGAGGTAAAATCAGAAAGGCTGAGGAAGAAAAATATTAGTTTGATCTTATGTAATAAAGCCAGGATATATATTTAAAAAATTAATCTTGCTATCTGATGTGACAGGCATTAGCCATTTCTTTTCTTTACTGAATAAGCTGTACCCAGTTCTTGAGATGGAGAACTCAAGCTATGCACCTATATTCCTAATCAAGATGTTTTTAAAAACCTTTCTGCTGATTCAAATTGATAGGTAATTGCTCAGAATAGAAATAACCTATTGCAGACTTCAGTACATTTTTCTACAACCTATTCTATTTTGGGGGTGAAAAATCTTAACAGTTACTATACTATTCATTACGTGTCTAAACATCATGCACATTCTTAGTATGTTCATTACTGAGAGTTCTTACACAAATCTCCTAATACGAAAATATGGCCCTATGTGCCACGTGTACCTTGATCCAAAATGCAGTTACTAGCCATGACATATTCCTTTTTTTTTACTCTGTCACTGAAGTACATATGTTCAAAAAAGTAATCCTCTTACATTAATTGTAACAGGTAACTTATTTAAAGTGAATTATAAATGTTGATAATTATTGAAGTAGGGTAACGGGTACATGTTAACTTATATTTTCGTGAATGGCTGAAAATTCCTATAATAAAAAGTTTATTTCAATACTTGAGAAAACGGCATCTTTGGTCTTAAATAAGCCCTGATCTTTTTGTGGGTGTTTCTGGTGCTTTTGTCAGGAGCGTAATAACAAGAGCATCAATTAGCACAACATCATAATCCCAAGAAAAATGAAAAATTGCCATCCTTTGTTGATAAAGAATTAATAGGCATTTTACAGGATACTGTGCACCTAATAAAGTTTCTTCCTTATTGAAAACTATACTTAAGGAAAATGTGTATACAATCGATTAATGAGCTCAAATGGTAGAAAGCACGTGTATCACAATGCTAAGTTAGTTATACCTTCCATCTGTCGGGAAGAATCACATGTGTGAGTATCTTTGTGGCTCCAACAGCTCTGAGCCAGATGGAGTCTGTGTACATACAGACAGTACGGACAGAGAGGCACACAGCCCTGAACACACTCACACATACTGCTAAGATCAAAAAACAGACATTCTTTTGTTTCGTAAGCTACTTCCCCAAGTGATTATAAATACTTATACACATATATGTGTCATGTCAATACTATTGATAACTGGATTTTACTCTCAACAGGACTGATACTACCTCTCTAGAAGAGGTTATAGTTCTGTGACATATTGATACTGTTCTCAAAGGTAACTTTTGAAACTTGTTCCATACAAACAAAATGTTCGTTATTAGCCCATAATCTGTCTCTAGTTCTTAATACATCTATGAATTTAGTTGTATCATATTTTACTATCACAAGATATATGTGTTACAGCCTTTCCTTTATTAGATAATTTGAACAAGGCATTATTGGCTGGATACACCTAAAGACCAGATAGTGTTGCTGCTGTGACACCAACTACCAGCAGGTGGCGGTGAGGAGCTCCATCTGACTGGGCTCTGACATTCCTCACTTTTATAGGAGAAAATACCCCAGCCTTGGCTACCTTGCAATTTACCCGATCTCTGTTAACAGAAACATTTGTATCATGTAGAAAATCACAGATAAGAATGATGACAGAGTCACCCAAATACTGAAATTAACAATGCTGGCAAAGGTAGGATGCTAAGGAACCTGGCACTTTGACTATAGAGACGAAAAGTCAAACAATTTGAATGATGTACTTGGAAAGCAGTTACCACTATGCCACTCATCTCTGAGACCCTTAGTTTAATCACTGTTTAATCACTTTGATTTCACAGAGCTCAAAAGAATCACATAGGCGGGTGCAATGGCTCACACCTGTAATCCTAGCACTCTAGGAGGCCAAGGTACATGGACAACCTGAGCTCAGGAGTTTGAGACCAGCCTGAGCAAGAGAGAGACCTTGTGTCTACTAAAAACAGAAAAACTAGCCAGGCATGGTGGCAGGGTCTATAGTCCCAGCTCCTAGGGGGGTTGACACAGAGGACCACTTAAGCCTAAGAGTTTGAGGTTGCTGTGAACTATGATGCCATGGCACTCTACCCAGGGTACAGAGTGAGACTCTGTCTCAAAAGAAAAAAAAATTATGTAAGCAGGGACTACTGTATTACCTCATAACTGGGGTGTCCCAGTCTTTTCTCCATGTCTGGAATCTGTTCAACATTTTTTGCTTGTACTAAAGTGCTTCCAGTAAATATTTATGACTCCAGTAGTATTACAAAATAAGACAAATAACATAAAATATAACACCATTTATCAGATTAGGTGTTACCTCTAGATAAAAATCAAGGAAAAGGGTACAAAAGTTTTCACTGAGAAGAGTTATCCCTCTTATTATTACTAATGCTGATTATATAGTTCTGCATTTTCAGTCCAACCTGTAGATCTAGAAAAGAAAAACATTCTCTATGCTCTGCTTGTTAAATAGCAAGTATGTCACACCGGTTAGGAAAAACCACGATGATAAATGACTGTTATTTGCTTTTTAAAAAATGTTAACCATGAAAACCTATGGACTGAAATGGCTGAAAATAGTTCAAGCCTTTGATGGTACCAAAATTTTCTTTTCATTCCCAATATGAAGAGAAACATCTTTATCCTACCTTCTGCCAAACTCTCTTAGACAAATATATTTATGCTGGAAAACACCTAATACAAAGAGAGACTTAGAAAGTTCCCCCGACCTCTTGGATAAACGCCATGCTGTTTACTGTATATCCAAGGGGTCTGCGAGGCGCTGGCACCAAGACTTGCTAACTTGTCTGTTCATCACACAGAAGTCCCGAAGACCAGCAAGGAACCTTCTTGGAGATGGACCGCACTGGCTTTCACTTAACACCACACAGTCCTCATTACTTTCTCATCTTCTTATCACTGGAAAGCAATGTGACTACAGCATTCACGTCAGGGTCCTGTCAACTCTAGTAACTGCACTGGCAACATTTTCTGGAAATGGCAAACCACAAACACAATGCAATAACAGCCTGGGTCTCGGTCCTGCAGACAGGGAAGACACCACAGGTGACACAAACCGGTCAGTCTCAACTCTTCTAATGCCTCAACCCTTTAATACAGTTCCTGTGGGCTGGGAATCACAGGTTGAGAACTGCTGCTCTAGGAGACCATGCTGCAAACGGAGGTCGATAATGCCTGAGACCTCATACACCTGCGTCGGGACAGACCGTCAGAGAAGCTATAATCTCTCAGGTTTATGCCATTTATTTACTTAGCCTCTTTGTTGCTGTTTTCTTGGTAATATGAACTCTTAACAATGCCTGAAAAGCAGCTTGCCAGTCATGCAGCTAGTATAGAAGAACCCTGACATTCCTCCTGCATAGGGGAACTCCCACGCTTATTTACAGGGTAGCTTATTCTGAGAATAGGTACTTTTCTAATTAAAAAATGGTGAGATGCCATGGATTTAAAAATAATTTTTTTTAATTTATGGCAACATCTTGACATCTATTTTTATTCACTTTCTACACATACAGGGGCTTTAGCTACTTGCTTTCTAAGTCACAGGATCAGGTTTCTTCAAAAATTGTATTAATGGCTAAATATACGCCTATCCTTGAGCCCTAGTTGGTTTCCATTTTTGAGATGTTATATATAACATGTGAGATAAAATTTTGGTTAATAAAGAAACACTTATTTAGGCTGCATTTTTAAATGATTTAAGTACTC